CGTCAAATCAAAGTCTCTGGTTTAGGAGGAGTGACCACTTATATTACCACTCATGCCCGAGTGAAGATAACTCTCGGATTGAGTGTAGTGTACGTCCTGAATATCTGGGTTGGAAACATTGGAGAAGGTGTGGATGTTCTGCTAGGCATGAACTTTATGCATTCGGCAGGTGTCCGACTCTGCATACGAGAAGGCTTAGTCAAGCTGCCAGACGAAGAGACTGTGGTGATGTATGATAATAATCCCAAGTCCAGTGGTATGGATCTCCCTGTGTGCCCAGAGGAAAGCATACACCTGCGTCCTGGTCAGGATGCTATTGTACGAATTCGGTATGGTCAGTCCAACCCCACCGCGAGTTGGTGTGGGCTGGGAGAGAAAAAAAAACTGGGTAACCAACGTCCTGTACTCTACTAGATCCTGGGCGACTGTCGATCCATGAGTGTACCGTGTCGCGCCAAGCAAAGATGCGTGCTGAACGGCTAGAGCAGATTCTCAGGGAAAGGGAGCATCCGTGTACCCAGACTCAGAGATATCAGTGGCCTACTAAGCTCTTGATGCGTCCACAGTCCCAAGTCGCTGGAGTAAAGATGGTAAAGTTGCAAGAAAGGCCGAAACCATTGGACGTGACGCTCAAGATCATCGGTAATTCCGCGGTTGTCATGAACACGGTCGCGAGAGGCCCCGAGGAGCCTGAGACCTGTCCTGAGCCGGTAGAACAGACCCAGCCTGACTCGAGATCAGAAGTTGAGACTCTGGATCCAGAGAGTATGGCCGATGTCGAGGATGACGCTCAGGTCCCTGAACCGGCAGTGGATGCCCAGTCACAGACGAGCTGTCCAACACCAGTTCAAAGGCTGGAGGCAGAATATGCTCGGATAATGCGGGTCTCCGCTGAAGAACTGGATCTAGAGCCCGCTGTGTACCTCAGAGAAGGAAGTGATTTGATGGCACAGTTAAGAGACCAACTCATCATGCTCCCGGAAATTGAGGAACTGACCCCAGAATGCAACATCGACGAAGCTAATGTCGGGGTTCCGGGAGTCACAACTCCAGGGATGGAAGCCACGATGAGAGGGATCCTGAAACGCCATCGCAGTATCTTCCTGGGAGACGGCAACGCAGCTCCGGCCCCGGCTAGGGGCGTAGTGTGTGATATCGACGTTGGTGAAGCAAAACCAGTGGCTTTACGCGCGAGGCAGATTGCCGCATCGTTCTTGGTGAAGGTGTTTGAACTCCTGAAGAAGTTGTTGGAGGCAGAGCTCATTCAGCATTCAGAGTCCGAATGGTCATCACCTGTTGTGATTGTGCTGAAGAAAAACGACATAGACATTCGAATGTGTATTGACTACCGACTCCTGAATCTGCTCATAAAGCTGTCTCGCTACCCTCTACCCTTGATCGATGATCTGCTGGTAGACTTCAAGTCTGCAATGTGGTTTATGAGTCTCGACATGGCGAGTGGATTCTGCGAATGACGGAACGTACGAAGCTGATCTCTGCATTTGTCTGCCCGTTCGGCCATTTTCAATGG